TTTTTTTTTTTTTTTTTTACTCCCATACCAACCGGGTTTTCCCATGTTCCAAAAAAGGGTGGTGACATGTAAGGATACGGATTATACATTCCATGGCCATTGTGATTACTTGTTACACTAGGAGGGACATAAACAGATGTTGTATTAGCGGGTGATCCAGTACTATCGACTTGGGTACCCTTTCCTGTTAATGCGTTTAGTAACAGAGGGACTCCTATACTCGCCAGTAGAGTACCAAGAAACCCACCCTGCTGTGTTTTTGTTGGTCTGATAACTAATCCGTTACCTGTTTGTACAGCCTTAAGAATATCTCTTTTCTGACCTGTAGATAGTAAATGTTTGTATGCAATCAACTGTGCTATTTTATCCTGCGGAATAAGAAAACCTCCTCGTTGACCTTTTCCGAATATTTTATCAACACCGAGACTGGCTAACTCTGATAACGCGCCTGTTGCAAGCGGCGCAATAGCCTTTTTGGCTAATGGCATGGCCATAAGTAGCAACTTGCTTCCTATACTGATTAATGATCCCCACAAACCATCACCCTGTCTAACAGCCTTTCTGATTTGTGTTTTTGATATTTTAATATCCGACCCTGTACCGTGGCTCATTGCTTTTCTCAGCTTATTGATCTGAGTTTTTGTTAGCATTAATTCATGTGGTCCGGATAACTCATTTCTGGCGCGCTAATCTGATGGTTATTGCTGAATTATTATTGTAAGCCCGTGAAAGCTTTTCCAATTGTCCTTTACTAAGTGACACACCATAAGGATAATATTTCTTCATTACTTGTATATAATATATGTTACATACTTTACGATCTGAGTATTATTTTGCCATCTTTCTGTATTAGCTCAGCATCTTGCTCGTAGAGTGTTAATGCGTAAATAGAGTAGGCTGTTGCCGTTGTTCCAGATAGCTCATATTTGAATGTCAGTTTTGTAGTGCCATCCTTAATGTCCATTTTCTGTTTTGTTAAGTCGAAATACAGGAAGGGGAATAGCGAACTAAAATTAGATTTATTGAGTAATGACACCTCACCGTATTCATTATTTTTGTGAACATATTTCAACACATCCCTGAAGACTCTAGTCATATCAGTAGTTGGTGTGCAATGTATTTCGGGGTATTCGTTTCCATTTCCGACTTCCAGGTGACAATTGGATAAGGTCTTTGGGTCAGTTGAGACAGAGAATGTGTTGTACAAGAATGGATTAGCTGTCTGGGCATCGATATTCGCATCATTGATTATAAACACAAACACGTGTCGGGGTTTCAAAATACACGTTGAAATTCTGAAATGCCCAGCTCTCTGGCGGCTACTATTTGATCTTTCTATATTCTCTCTCAAATAAGTCCACTTATGATTTTTAAGGTATTGGCTCATATAGGATGATTGGCCTTCACTGTTAAATGTTATCCGTGCAACATACAATTGCATTCTGGTGATGACCACTCTACAATCAGCCCCGGCTTGCCAAATTAGATTACCATCTGACTCAATCTCAAAATTCATCTCAACTCTTGTATTGGGTAACAGCTCATCTTCTAACATTTCAAAGAATGAGTATCTGTTCAGTGGTATCTCAATATTTACTGTAGATGAGGTACCCAGGAGTGCTTTTCGAAGAGCAAAACCCTTATTGTAAGCTGCTCTTCTTTTGGCTAACTGATTTGTGCCACTAACTTCAAATTCCCGTTCTTCTGCATTTCTGGATGTATCAAGATAGAAAAACTCATTACTAGCTGTCTTATCAGCGCAAGAAGGACTGTACTCAAGTAAGTTCTTAATATTAACCGCGTGATTCGCGTCATTACAATCATACACTTTCTTGCCATTTAGCTTAATATCAAAATGTTTCAAAAATGAGTACGACCCGTTTACAATACCATTATGATCTGCTACTGCAATGTTACCTCCATTAGCCAGCAAGACTATTTTAAAATCGAGACTGATACGAGCATTATACCAATCAAATGGTGTTACCTCTCCACTATTATCAACAACAAATCTGTAGCCATCTTTCTTTTGGTGAGCATTATTGGCGACAGTTGTATTTAGTGCTGTTTCTAGGTCAAAAGTAACATCTTCATATCGTTCAACATAGTTTGGATCCCTAAATGATTTCATTATATTAATAGATTACATAAATCTTCTCATCCGGCCTCCAGATAGTAATTGATTTACTCGTTCATTAATCTCATAATCGCTTAGCTCTCTTGATTGTGGATTTTTCATCGGAGATGCCGCTACTGGTGTCTTTGTGTCTTTATTCTTTTTGCTTAATAACTGAATAATTCTATCGCCCGCTTTTTTTGCCAGCATATTCACCAGTCTTAGTAGCAGCTTTTTGAAGGGCCTTTTGGGTTGCTGTTTTAGCGGCCTCTTTCATTGTCTTTCCAAACAACTTTCTACCAATCGTTTTAAAAACATCGGTAACAACACCTTCTCCATAAATGTGCTTCTTAATATATCTCATCGTCTTAACATCATAACGTTTCTTGAATTCTGATTGTTTCATGTACATTATTAGGTTAGATATTATGCTGGTTTGGATCGCAATATCAATGTCATAAAACAGTCAATCTCATTTAGTCCAACTCGACGTCCCAGTGAATCTGTAATATAAAACCTTATTTGACTGATATTTAGTTGGGATACTTCATTAAACAATAGTCTTCTGGGTTCAAATGCGAATGGGAAACTTCTTGTCAAATTGTTAGTTGGAATAACAGCTAACGTATTAGTGTTAACACCATTCAATATGCTGTTGGTAATGGCGTCTGTGTTAACATAAATCATATCAATGGAATGTGTGATATTGGGAAAAATTGTCCCATATTCTGTTTTATTGAAAATCTTTTCTGTGAAACCCAATCAACTCCCCAAATTTACTGTTTCTCAGATCCAGCTGGTAATTGTTGTCAATCTGAATGAGAATCTTATACTTTGACAATACGAATGTTAGGTTAATGTGGTATTTGTCACCAGTTTTATCGTCGGTGGTAAGATGCCCCTTATTTTCCATGTACTGGTGGAGAAAGTCATTAAGATCTGAGTAAGTATACATTCTATCCACAAATTTGACGGTTTCCCACGATGTGCCACTATTAGGTGAGTATTTTATTTGGTTATTTTGATACTGATCTGAAATATTGTGCCAACTGTAAGTCATTGTAACCTTATCTAGTGCCAATTCATGGGTCATATCACTTTGTAGTTTTAGAACTGTATCAAATTTGATTATAAAATATCTTCTGCTTTATTATGTCCAATTTTCTGTCTGTCAGCAGATGATATATGGAGTGCTCTTTCTTGCATTTATATTATTAGATTACATATATCTTAGATTTTATGTTATTATAGTATATACTCCTTTAACAGACTATTAAGCTGGGTGTTATTTAGAACACCTAATTTGTTTAGTGTGTGAGCAATTTTGGAAAATTCATTTTGGACACCATTATTTCCAGCCAATATAAATCCACCTAACAATTCTAGTCTGTCCAGTAGGTCAGCTGGGTTATTATAATAAACAACACCTGCACCAATTTTTTTGTATTTATCACTTGTTCGGTGAATTGGAATATCACTTATTCTGTTCAGGTCATCAAATACCATTTTTGATAATGGTGAATACTTCTTTTTACTATTGAACCGCTTTGTGAGCAGATCAAGGGTATCAAAGTCCACTTGCTTATCNTTTTTTTGTATTTATCACTTGTTCGGTGAATTGGAATATCACTTATTCTGTTCAGGTCATCAAATACCATTTTTGATAATGGTGAATACTTCTTTTTACTATTGAACCGCTTTGTGAGCAGATCAAGGGTATCAAAGTCCACTTGCTTATCATAGACTTTTTTACCGTCCTTACTAGCAACCAGTTTGAGTTGGCCATAAAGTTTGGGCACGTCAATTGTTACATTTCCATAAACACCAGTATTAGGGTTAATCTTATAGGTATTCCTCTTTTTTTATGTATAAATACCCTGACCAACTTTCAATGTTTTTGCGCCTTCCTCTACAATACCAATTCTTTGTCGGTACTTTCTAATAATCTCAATTCCTTCATCATACTCGGCAATCTGGTCTTTATTCCTCTTTCTGGTAGTTTTTGTTGTACTCAAATGGGCTTTTTTCCTGCCTAACTCCTTATTAATTTCACCAGATTTAGTTAATATTTGTTTCACATAATTTGGCTCTTTTAAGGTTTGCAAAAAAATGTCAGCTGGTAATGGCAATTGCTGGTTTTGTATAAATGCTAATTCTTCTTGTGTGAATCCTTTGTTCACATCAGCTACCATCTTAGGGGGCGCCTCACCACTTGGGCCTGGTAATGCTAATCTTTGAAGTTGCTCAGCATATGGAACAACTTGTTTATTGACATCTTCTCTCAATTTACTGATCTCCTCTATCTCCTTATCAAACTTTTCCGTAAGAGGTTTCAAGTCCTCGGAAGTCTTTTCGTAAACATTCTGCTTATTAGTTCGGACTTCTTTCATAACATCCCTAACAACTTCAGTCATTTTTCCTGCTTCAGTTTTAGGGATACTGAGTCTCTTAAATCTTTCAATATCCATTATACTATTATGTTATATAAAACTTATCTCAACTTATCTCAAGTTATCTAACATAATAGTATAATCGAGATTCCAAATTATGATTTCAATGAAGACGAAAATACAAACTTCAAACGACTGTATAAGTATATGCCTAAATCCAATTTTAGGATTCTAATATGTGGCAATTCAGGGTCAGGCAAAACAAACCTGCTTTATCACATCCTTATGAAACCATTAGTATATTATGACCAGATCCATTTAAACAGCAAAAATCTGGAACATGAAAAGTATCGACACATGATAGAAACAATGAATGATATTAGTGGTCAGGTTGGATATGACATAATGCATTGCAATAATGATGATATTAAACCTGTCAATAGTCTGGAGAGTGATGCCCAGAAAATTGTAATATTTGATGACTTTATGTGTGATAAAAACCGACAGCCGCTTATCGATTATTTCATTCAAGGCCGGCGTAAGAACTTCAGTGTTATTTACCTTTCACAATCATTTTATAAAACTTCAAAAGATATCAGATTAAACTGCAGTCAATCAGCAACCTAATTATAATCAATAATACTCAAAAGGAAAACGCGGTATTACTGTCCCTCAAGGACCTCCTGGCTTGTTTGGAGATCCTCACTACAGACTACAAATTGTGGCACAAATCTGTAATTACTGTTGACACAACTACCAGCCAGGAAGTAACTGTCAAAAGATGGAATGTGAATAAGTACTCACATGAGTATAGGACATCTTCCAATCAGGTTGGATATAGGTTGGATATATATAGCTTCATCCACTCCTTATTTCTTACATATCCAGGATGTTATGGCACAGGAGGGTATTGACTTGAATACATATCCAACTAATTTAAATAATTATTACCTAATAGCTTACGGTATGCTTGGGAGTCAATGGATTTAGATCCAAAAAAACTTATGATTACCATACGGCATTGGATATTAAGCCGACTGAAGTTGTTTACAATGTTGATCTAGATATGAACAGAAAGAATACATTATTCATTGCTCCAGATAAAACTAAGAATAATTCACCAGCTACTGTGAAGATGGTCAAAGATTTGGAGACAAAATTGAGCCCTCATACAAAAAATAATGCGTACAGGGAGATATTTGAGGAATTTTATGATTTAAGCGATGCCGGTATCTATAAAATAGCAACAAGACCATCAGGTGTCGTATTTATAGGTTTCCTCCCTAACATATAAGTAAGAGATAAAGCCCGAGAACGGAGGTATTAAGCCATATACATCCCGAGGGCCGTAGGCCCGAGGGATGTATATGGATTAATACCAACGTTCGAGGGGTTTATCTAACTTATTTCAGTATATTATTCATGAGGTATAGGTTACAAAAAGGTCGTCTTTCACAGGGCAATAATTGGCCACTTGTTTTTGACATCTGTTTGTTTGTCATTTTTTGATGCGACCGCAGACAATGAGGTATTTCATTGTAAGTATTGTAAAGGTTTTCACACAGCATCGAGAAAGGGCGTTTCACGGGTCATAATTTGTTCAAACCACTTGTTCTCACTTAGGTGAGAAACGGAGAACAATAGCGCATTGTTTGTTTGCTAAGCCGACAACAATCAAATTTCAAACCTTTTGTGTTTTTTTATTTTTGTCTTGGTATTTTTTGGGGGGCCAGTACACTTGTGAGCGCGGCAATGGATAGTGACGACGAAATTTTCCTAACGCAAAATACTTTCTCTCAGGAGCCTTTTTCCCCTGAGTTGAATTTGGAAGAGTTAGTGAGAGACTTAGAGAAGTAAGCGAACGAGATAGTGTTGAAGTCGAAAAGAAAGCCGGAGACGGTAATTAGAAGTTTCAGTTTTGTTTCATATTTTTATTTTCACTGTTAATTTTTGCAGTTTGGTTTACATCGACTCCTGTTGGACATAACAAGCTTGGAAACGTTGTTAGCAAAATGTGTAAAGATGCAGACCTACAGGGCCAATTCAGCAATCACAGTCTGAGGGCCACAACAGCAACACGTGGACTGGAAAAAGGAATCTCAGATAAGTTGATTATGGAGCGTACGGGCCACCGAGATATCAGATCTTTACAAAGGTATCAGAGGCCTGATGCCTCTACCAAAATTGAGATTCTAAATCATTAAATTGTCGATCCGAAGGATCCGTAGTAGAAAGGGAAGCCGAGTCCTCGTTAAAAAGAGAAGTAGATCAGTTGATGACGAAGTACAAAGATTTTGCCAAGATGACAACAACGCGATTGTGAAAGGATCAAACAGTGTTGTGTTCCAGAATTGCTCGTTTGTAATATCCAGACTTAAAATTTTCTTAGAGTGAACACATAGCCTGTATGATATATGGGATACTACTGTATTTTCTATAGTTGCAGAATAAATTTCTATATTTGTGTTAAAGGGAGAAATTTTCTCCGAACGTTTGGCGGGGTCAAAGGACGTGTATGATTTACTTTAATTACTTATTATAAATGGAAGGGATTTGTTTATATATTGCCTAGGGCAACAGGGCAATATACAGATAAATACCTAGTATTTATAGCGGAGCTCCACCCGCGCGCGAAGCGCGCGCGTGGACGGAGCCCCATAGCTAAGGAAATGTGGTAATCTACCCATCCGAGAAAATTTGGTAATCACGTGACCGTACGCCCGACCGTCCGTCCGCACCACAGGGAAACCAATGTTTACTCTCACACTTTCTAGCTAGTTTGGGAGCCCAATAGAAAACTAATTGCACATCAATGTTGTGATCAATTGACAGCTGTCAAAACAGGATATCCGCTGACCAGTATCACCTGACCGTAGCGCGGGCTCAAGAGTCGACCCATCGAGGTCGAGTACTTTTTTGAAGTTATCCGCTGACAAATTACCAGTTTCAAATGATCGCAGGCTCAAGTCTATTTTTTTCCAATGATTCATGATTCATATGAAATATGTTGTGTTTATGTCACTATGGCCCCGCACTGTCAAGATTTTGATTTCAAACTGACCTCGGACGCGAAAATTCAGCCACTTTTTTTAAAAATAAAGGCGGGGAAGACCTTTTCTTACCATGGTCACGCGTTGGTCACGCTCTACGTCCAATTTTTGTACTCTGATTGGTCAAAATTTGACAGGTGAGTTCATGCGGAAAATTTATGCAGCATCTTGAAAGTTGTTTACTTTGACAGCTAAACAAAGCTGACAGAGTTTTGTGTCAACTTGTGATGTTTTTAACTGTCTTTTTCCACTGGATGTACAAAATGAAATACAGCTGCTATCAAGAGTCTTCTGTTATCCATGGCTGGTTTGTTTATTGGGTTTTTGGTTGAGAAATGCGTCGCTTGTCAAAATTGGGTAATCCGATTTCGGATGGCATCGTTTTCGTCTTTCACCTTGCTCAATGCGTAAGAGGGTTTAAAAGTCTCAAGCAACTATGGTCTTCCTTGATATCTTTCAGGAACTGAATCTCGAATGGTAAGCCTGAGTAATTATTGTATTTGATGTTTGTTTTTGTTATATCTAATTTCATGAAGCCGAGCACAGTTTATGCGGCAAGTTTTTGCACGTTTGAGTCAATGATCTGATCTAGTATCAGGTTTGATATAAGCTTACAGAACTTTAAAAGGCCTTCAGATATATTTTCTCACGGCAAATAGAAAAAAAAAACGTTCCGAAGAATATTTAGTTATCAATTTGGCTGTAGAAAGAAAAACTTTGAGTGATTTTCTTGCTTCGAGGAGTTCATCTTTGAAAAAAAAACAAACACCGGGAGACCGGCTGAAAGTAAAACAAAATAAACTTAAGCTTAAGCTTTAAGCTTAAAGACTCAGCATTTTTAGAGACACTTTAATACTTGTCTTCGTGAATGAAAAGTGTTGTCTCTGTAAATGTTTTAACGAATTATATTTCTTTTATTGATTGTTAGTAGTCTCCCTTGCAATTTTAATCGCTTGTCCGTGGTGTTTGTTTTCATCGTTCATGAACATCGTTTGCAGGAGTACTTAGAAATGTCGCTTTATAAGATTACACATCGTTATAACTGGAACCATTAAATAACAAAAAATAATGATAATAAATTCGTTATTATGTTGAAGCGTATTTCCATTAAAGTTCATTCAAACACTCGACCACACTGACAGCTCGCATTAAAAATGAGAACCGGCTGGCCGTATGGGTGATTTTGGAAATTTTTTGAACGGTTTCGCTAAAAGCCCACGATTGATTGTCCTGAACATTGAAAAATTGTGAAATGCCGTATTCTGTCCGAGGTCTGTATGATAAAAAGTACTGTTTCACCTCAGATGTGATGTATAAAAAGTGTAAAAGGTTGGTTTACACACCCTCAGATTTGTTGTGAAGAATTTGTAAAGTAAACCTGTCGAACGCAAAAAATGCGGCCTGATTTGTTTTCCAAGAATTTGTTTTCGAGGCCTAATCTACTGTGATCAAGAGCCATTATGGCTCTTGAATGTGATAGAAGATGTTTGCTATTTTTTGGGTGTACATACATGTGTATTTAGGCTATCAACTCGATGTAAGATGTTTCACTCTAAAATAACTTATCCTTTCCCTCAAAAGTCACATGAATGTGCCCTTAAGTTAACTGATTTGTGGATTACAAGTTTATTGTTTGATTTAAAATATAGATTTATTAATGGGAGCTTCGCTTTTAGCCCTGGCTAAATCTATATATTATAGATATTGTCCTTGCATTTATAATTAGCAATTTATTCAATTCATCAGCCCCGCTCTTCCCTGCTACATTATCAAGCCCTCCCCGGACTTTCAGTTAGTTAAATATTCATGAAGTATGTAAGTTAAATAAAGGATGTTGAATAACAAAAGAAAATGTGTGATTCATGAAATAATTCACAAATATGAATATTGCCAATGTTGAGGAAGGAGGATTGAGGATACAAAATAAACCAGTGAGTTTAACATTATTCGGTGAAAGGAGCTTTACTCTTTGTGTTGTTATGCGACTATGGCTGAACAGAAACATGAACTTAAAAGCATTTATGAGAAATGAAGCTGATGAAAAACCACATTTGATTTATGACAAAACAACAAAGCAATTAACACTGCAAACTAATGGTCTGAGAGCTGGGTCAACTAACGAAACTTCTATCACATTACTAAATAGTTTCAATGATAAACGGGTTGTGTTTTGGCTAACTGAGAAAGATACGGGGGGTAACCCAACAGTGAAGGCTACTCTGGAACACTAACACTAAGTTCAGCTTTAGCATCTCAGAGTAACTACACATTCAGAATATCCTCAGAAGATGCAATAATCTATAAAGTAATGTACTCTCCAAACTTTTACGACCTGGATTCCCACGAATTTCATACAATATTGGTGCAGGAGAAACTGAACGGTTCTTATATTATTTAAACTAATAATATATAATGAGTCACAAGGGAAATATATTCTACTTTCATTACATTGATAAAAGCAAAACAAAAGAAGAGATCCAGGAGATCACAGAGTTGTATAAATATTACCATTATAAATATTGGTGTCACCGACAGGCCTTCAAACACTTTAAGAAACTAAACCTAGCCCTAAATATATCCGCCACTGGTTTGATAGTAATTGAGGCTGTTGCTGGTGGTTTGACGGCCAACCCAGCCATTCTAGGAAGCATATCAGGCGCTAGTTTAGTTCTTAAAACGCTTTCTGACACAGAAAACTACAAGAGAAAAATAGAGATGTCAATGTTTGCTTATCCTACTTACCAGAAAATATTACTTGACCTCCTTACCGCTTTGCGAGGGGGACTATTTGATAAAAACGATTTCCTGAAGGAACTAAATATATTAGATGATACGATCGTGGACTTTGCCTCATTAGTGACAAGATTTGAAAAGCAGTACGCTAAAAAGTTCCTCTCCCGTCCAACAGAAACTGAGTAATGAAGGATTTCCCTTACTTTTTATGAGATATCAGTCTGTTGATGTCATCCTTGATGAGACCATAAACTCTCTCCCACCAATTTTCATAATATCGTAGTGTATGTTTTGATCGAGTGAGAGGAATAATCTTGTATTCTACACCTAAAATGTCAAATAGTTGTTTAATGATAAAATTCACACTAATAAGCCGTTTTCGACAAACACCTGGTTGGTGGGTAACATTATCAATTATTAAAAACTGAATCATTGGATAATGCAATTCTAGCATTTTGACTGGCTTAGCCGTTATGGTATATGAGCTATTATACCATTCTCTCCATATATGGTCGGTGTACGCGTCAGTTTAAAAAAGATTGGAAGCGTGCTGAGATTTTTTTCGCGAAGGATAGAACGGCGCCCGAAGCAAATTGTTTTAATTCATTTCTTAAAATACTAGAAATGCAATTTCATCGAAAGAAAAAAAGACAAAAACAAACAAAAAAGCCGCAAGAGCTCGTTTGAAAGTTTGTCGAAAAACATATGAAAACACATGGAACTAAAGTACCTTGACCAGCTACGAAAGAAGACAAGCGTTGTTTCTTCATGATCGCGAAGCCATTCGCCGATCGAGTCACTCGCCGATACATAACTGCGGCTTGTTTATCCGACATCAAGAATATAAATCACAAATATAGCCAGCTACAAATACAGGCTATGCAGCCATTCACTAGAGCAATCGAGGCGGCATTATAGCTTCTTTTCTCGTTCAGCAAAACCAGCTTGTGGCTTCAAACAACTTCATAACCAGCGACCGAGGTGATAGTTTTTCTCCATTGTTCTTACTTTTATAACTGCACCGAAAATCCAAATTCACAGTAATTTCGACTGCTGTCACTTGAAAATTCTTTTCCTTCACATTATCTGACAGGTCTTTTTAGCTGTTCTGCTGTGTAAAATCCTAGAATCCCGATGAGTTTTTTAAAAAACTAATGTTCATCGCTACAATGTTATGATTTTCCATTCATGCAGTCCATGCAGTCCGTTCGCGCGTTGACAGTTTTGATAGACGTGTGACATGTGAATAGCGGAAGTCCCTTGTCTTTTCCGGTTTGTTCTAGTCGGGGAGATTCAACGAGATTTTGTGGGCGTTTTTAATAAAACAATTATTCCACTCGCGCTTGTTGGATATGAGATGATTATAGCCAACTCGTTGCTACGCGCCTCGTTGGCTATCTATCATCTCATATCCAACGCGC